GTGGAGAAAAGGATTTTTTTTTTCCCCAGAGGAAGCAAGCAGGCAGCTTTCTCCTCATATATATATATATACATATATATATATATATATATATTCTCCTGAAATCTGGGGGCCCCATCTAGCATACATCTGGGATGTGTTTGTAATTACTCTGTAAACTACTTAGAGTGGGCTTTTTTTCCTTTCTGTATCTTCACAAAAGATGTCTTCATAGGGCAGCAAAAATGCATTATTTCAAGGGTGTTAGCCTACTGTAAATATAGCAAAAAACTTGGGGTTGTGTTTATAAGCCTAGTAGAAGTAGCATTTAGAGTTATGTGCCACTTTGAAGACACAACAGAATTTAAGCACAATATCACTGTGTATCGAGAACAGGTCAGTATTCAATTTAAGTAGGATTAAGTACAATTAAAAAAACCCCTTCTTTGGATAAATAACTTGCTACCCTATAAAGAGGCCAGCAATTGCAGAAGAAACTTCCTCTTAAAATCTCTTGAGTTCAGGCTGGGGAGGAGATTTGCATTAAGAACATCAATTTTTCTTCAGCTTTCAAAATAACAAGGATTGCTGGAGTTGGGAGTTTATGTCCATAGGTAAAACTGTAGCATGCAGAGGACAGGAAAAATAAGAAACCAACGGAGAGAAGGCAGGAGAAGAGCTAGAGTATAACTGCAGCAGAGGACAAGTGAGTGATTTTTCCATTTCAATTTTTATCCCTTTGTTCTTTTATTTTGACTTTCATGCTCTTCTTGTTTACCAATTGTCACAAAATTTATAGTATTAGAAGCAAATTAAAGAAACCCACAAACCCTGGGATTTTAGTACATTGTATGTAAGATTAGTCTAAAGCCTGCAGGAACTGTTCTGAGTTGCTAATACTGAACTTACATTGATTCATTCCTTTGTTTCCCTTTTTTAAAGAAAAACTTTTCTGCTAAAACACATAACAGAAAGAAACTTCCAAGTTTTAATTTCACTCAGGTAATTAGTAATATAGCTGATTTTTAGAACTTTCCTACAAGACAGTTAATTGTGACTGATTCTTAATTACTTAAATGAGCTACCAAGGAGGAAAAAATACTGGAGGAAACTCAATCTGATATTTGCTCATAGTGGACTGATGTTGTAGAGTTGGGATGAAAAGTGTGTGTGTGTACATTTATATATATATATATATTATACTTTAAAAGAACAAGCTTGACAGTAAAGTCCACTGAAATGGATTTCAGGTATAGTATTTACTATAGGTAGAGCTGCTAGTGCCACCTGTACTTAAGGTTGTGTGACCCTTTACATTTCCAGGCTTTCTAACTTTTGCCAAAGTGTAGTTCAAACTGATTTTTCCATGCCAGATATCTGCTTTGGGCTGAACTTTTTGAAAGTTTCAGCCAAAGCAGTTCTGTTCCAAGAATAAGGCCAGTGAAAAGTATGCTATTTTGCTTGTGTGAGAATATTCTGGTGTCCTTCTTTGATGCTCCAGTGCCCCCAAGCTCTGAAGCAAGGATTTGAAATTTGGCAATAGTTCAGCCTTTGTGTTGAGGATGTGCCTTTTGCCTCCCTGTAAAAATCCACCCAAATTTCCAGACCGGTTTACAAGGCTTTGAAAGATTGCCATTTGCATGGGCTTAATAGGAATTTCTTAAAACTTCACAGTAAGCTTCCTTTAGATTTTGTTCACACTGGGAATGCTCCAGGCAGGGTAGAACTGCGTATTTCATCCCACTTCTGCTAGGAATTGTAACAGCTGGATCTGGGTGCTGACACTGAACTGAGAGTGGGCAGCATTGTGTCTTGTATCACCACTGCCTATTCCCATGTCCTGTTCCTTTTCCCTGGTGGTGGACCTGGGCCCTCTGGAAAAGAAACTGTCTCATTCATCTGGAATAGCATGACAGATGTGGAGGAGAGGAATTTAGGACCCTGTGTGTGTGTGTGTGGTTTATACCATTCTTTTGGTCACAGAAAATGTGTGTATCATGCTGGCAAAATATTACTTCCTTTTCTACTGGATGTTCAGATAACAGTAGTTAGGTTTTGTTGCATTTAAGCTTCAGTTTAAATGTTGAGTGGGTATCAAGGTTTTAACAAACTATATAGGCATCAACTTAAAGAAAATACTCAAGTGTCACAGGGCAGGAATGTTGTTTAGAGGGCAGAAATCAAGAGCTCATTTTTTCAAACATTTAAGTCTAACTCTGACCTCTTGCATTTACTACATTGTAGTGCAACCTCCAACTTCCTCCCAAGTGTCACATGCTTTGTCCAACAGGCAGCTATTTGACTGGAATGGGTAAAGGGGTTGATTCTGACAATGAGTCCAGGATTTGTACAGTAAAGTATGTATATTCATCTGTTATAGAAGTTGAAAAATGTGGAGTAAGTGAAGTCAAGATTTTTTTGGGGAAAGAAAAAGGCTTTGTGGCTAAGACAATTAAATGCTGCTTGATGAATTGTGTGCCATCTGTGCTTAGTTGTGGTATTTCTACATGATGCACTCAAATAACTGTTCCTAGGTTACTGCTCATACTCTATGATCTAGTGGCTGGTTTGAGAACTCATGTCAGTTTGTGGAAATGCAGACACTTAGAACTGCAAGTGAACTCAGTGGGAGCTAAACCTCCTGTAAAATCCTGTCTTTTACTGAGGATAGTAAAAACCAGCTCAGTCTGGAGCCAGAGAACCTTTTAATTTAATTAACCTAATGCCTCGGTTGCCAGTTTTGCAGGTGAAGAAATTACTTGACCCATCTCTGTAGACAGACTCAGAAAGAAATTGGGTGCCTTTGTAGCAAAACTGGAAAATAACACACTATAAACAGACCATATAACCCCCTCCCTTGATTAGGGATGAAATAAATCATTGATAAACATGTAATAAAAAGTGTATGTAATAAGATACAAGTATATTTTTATGTGAGTGAAATTACCTTTGCAACTTTTAACTTTCCATTGCTTCCCTTTCTGAGCCTAATAATTCTTTTAAAATAAAAGATGTGAATTTTCTCTGTGAATTTATTAAGGATTCAATTTAATTTTGTATAAATAGCCTAATTTTGCCAATCCCTTGGTAGTTGTCTTGGTTCTGGAGTGGGGGAATCATTATTTCACTTTTGCAACTTCTTTCCCAATAGACCATGAAAACCCAGATTATATTGGATTTGTCTGAAACCAGTGTTGTCAAACTATGGAAAGTTTCACTTTTTTATATTGTATTAAAAATCTAGTTCATACTGATCCAAGCATAAAAATCCCAAGATCATAGCTCTGGAACTCAACTTTTCCACTTTGAATGAGCAGTCAAAATTTTTAAACTCTGAGAATAATATAAAAATGCAAGTTTAATTAGCAATAACCTTTTCATTCTCTTCTAAATCAGACACTTCACCTTAGTACTAGTTGAATAAAATATTAGTAGGATCCTCATCCTTCCTGTTTGCTGTGGAGATGGAAAGCATACTTGCTCAGGCTGTTTACTGCTTCCTCCCCATGATAAATCTGCCCTTTGTAAAGCTGCTTCAACAGTACATCATTTTTTTATCACTTTATAGTCAGCCATTACCTGAAGTTTCCTATGCAAAAAAAAAAAAAAGGGGTTTGTAGCTTTTTTAAAAGGGACAGGTTACAACAAATAAGTGACTGTGTGTTTGTGGAAGTGTCTAGCTCCCAGAGGGAAATGATTTACTGCTAAGGTTTAGTGAATTTAATACTTTGGAAATTATTTGTTGGAGAGTCTGCAGCAATGGAGAGTTTTGGGTTGCGGTTTTTTGTTTTCTGGTGGGTTTTTTCCTTTCTTTTTTTTAAGGTGGAGGTGTGAGAGATTTTTTTCGTTTGTTTCTTTAAGCTTAAAGTAGTCATCAGATTTTTTTTTTTACTTGTTTCTTGGGTCATTCTCAAGGTGTTTACTGCCTCTGAACCAGTAGCTCTTTTGAAAGCTTCAGCATAAACAAGACATTTAACAGGATGTGTGTCATGTAAGTATTTGCAGGAGAAAGATGGGAATTTTGAGCACATCCATCTTCCTTAGGGGAACTCTGCTGCTAAGAACAGCAGTCTTATTTGCTTAGCTGTGTGAAATCCACTTGCTTGTGGACAATTGTTTTGTGTCTTGTTTTTCTTCCCCCCAAGACTTCCGCTTCCTTGTGTGCTCTTCCCATATGTGTTTTGGTTGTGCTTTGAAGTTGGACAACTAGTTTTAAACAAAAGCTTTTGCCACACTTCTGCATAGCATCCAGCTTGATTTCGGCAAGCTGACGTGTCAGCGATGTGGTTTAGAGTTAACAAAATGCTATTCCTTGCTTGCTTTTTCATTGGTTTGTGTAGGATTAAAATTAAAAAAGAAAAAATAATCGTATCAGACTGGGTATGTTGTATAAAAGCCAAGTCAAAATGTGATTAGAATGTGATTTGTCCATTTGGCTGTGCAGCAAGTATTAATTGACCAGACATCTGTCTTGACACGTGGGTGACATGAAGTTTATGAGATATCTTGTATTTTTTCCTCTGTCACCTTCTTTTTCCTCCTCCCCCTCTAAGGAATTTCTGAAAACCCAACCTTTGTGTGCATTTAGTTTCCTACATAAGTCATTCCAGCATATTTAGTCCAGAGTGCCTAGATAAAACAAATTAGGATGCATGTTTTCTGTCATCCTTGGGCAATGTGCTTCAGTAACAGGATCCTTGCTTTGACTTTCTTGAATTTATTCTGAAGTCTGTATTTCTTTATATTGATTTTTGTTTTAAGATTAGGGCACAAAATGAAGAGTAGATTCTGAAAGGCCAAAGCAACCACAACTGCAGTCAACCAGATTAATTTGTATCCAATTACACGAGCAGTAAATTAGCTATGAGTTTTCGACTGTACTATTTCAAATTAACTTGAAAAAGCAACTAAAATCTGGTTTGCAAGACTCTGCTTTATGAAAGGGGTTTAAGATGTGATCATTTATAGTAAGTATGTTAACTGGTTCTGAATGTTTTGCTTTTCTGTCTTGTTTTTGGCAGCAACTTGAACTAGTGGAACCGAGCGGCTGGATTCACGTTCCTCTGACAGACACTCAGAAGAAGCCAATTCGCACGTTCATGATCCAGATTGCTGTTCTAGCCAATCACCAGAATGGCAGGGACACTCACATGAGACAAATCAAAGTGTACACCCCGGTGGAAGAGAGCTCCATTGGGAAATTCCCTCGATGTACAACGATTGATTTCATGATGTATCGCTCCATAAGATAAAGTTTGATGACGGTATCGTTGCTAAAGTATTCAGATACTTAAAAAGCAGGCTTTACTTCGGCCTAATTATATCTTTTATGTTTATACTTTGTACAATTTTGAAATAAAGATAATACTGTGTTACAATGTATTGTAGTCTGTGATTTTGCAGAACTTGTCCTTGCAGTCTGAGTGCTCTTGTACTATCTGAGAGGAAAAAAAAAACAGACACTTTAAAAAGAACATATTTGACTGGGAATCAGTAATTGATTTAATACAGGCATTTTTGGAGGGTAATTTCTTCCCCTAATGATCATGTTTGTTCTATAGTGTTCCTGTTTGTTCCTTTACCTAAAAGCTGCTCATTTTAAAGAGCATTCTTCTTGAACAGACATGGTTTAAAGACATTACCAGTAGTGTTTTCCCATCATTGTTTATGCTAATGTGTTGCACCTTTTTCTGTATAGGATTGCTTCTGCTTAATGGCTGTCTGGATGGATTTAGCTTTCTTTGTAAGTGCAAAATAGATCATAGAATCATAGAATATCTCAAGTTGGAAGGGACATATAAGGATCATTGAGTCCAACTCCCTGCTTCTTCCCTTCTAAAACTAAACCGTATGACTAAAGAGCATTGTCCAGATGCTCCTTGAACTGTGACAGGCTCAGTGCCGTGACCACTTCCCTGGGGAGCCTGTTCCAGTGACTGATAACACAGTGAAGATGACAATGACATGAAGAAAACCAAACCTTTCCAAATTATTCACTATAGTATATACATTAATATAGATATGAGAATAGGTCATCTAAACATGATACCTGTTCAAAACAGGAGAGTTAAGAATGCTCTGACATCCTACAATAATGTAGAAATGAATTTGAAGGCCCAATGAACCTCTAAAATACTGAGAACTCAAGTGTATAACACCAGATAACCTCAGACTCGTAGCACAGAATTTTTTTAATGTGTTTTAAAGTAAAGAGCATTGCAAGGAAAATGTAGGCTTTATCTACTTGCTGTGAGTAGGAATATTTAACACCTCTGCTAACATCTCATAATCTAATTACTAGTTACTTAATCTTTTAAAAAAGTAAGGAGATTTTAGAAGGGTTGTTGAAGTACAAGGGTTTCTTTTAAAATGTTCAGCACTGATCAAACCTGTTCCTCCTAGCACCGTAAAAGCTGATGGTCAATCCAGACTAATCTCAGCCAAGGAAAACTTTTGACACTTCTTAATTGTGAGCAAGGAAAGGCTGCCAATATAGGAGGCTCATCAAACAGTGATAAGGTTGTCAAAGAAGGATAAAGATTTAGCTTTGAAATCCTTTATATGCTTCATGAAGCTGTTGTTTACTGAAAAGTTTTGTCTGGCTGAATTCCACAGTCTTTAGAAGGGTTATTGAACAGGGCATTTCATGGTGATGAACCTTGTAGAGAAGTGCATGACTAGTTTGAGTTTTCTGTTTAAATGTGGATTCAATCATTTCACAAGGACCTTAATGGTACCTTACCTTTCCATGTATCAGCTGCAGGATTCCTGCTCATCAGAATCTGGTTGAACTCATGCCTTTCACCAAGTCTGTCAGTCCAGTGGATTTTATTTTATATAGTATAAAGGACTGGTACATTGCTATTCACTTAAGCAATTGAAGCAAAATACATACCATTGCATATTTTTCTGTTAAAAAACAACAACCACCCCCCTCTGGATATATTGAGTTGTTTTTGATAAGTTATGGATAGACTTGTAAGAAAGGAAATTATTAGATGTGGAATTTTCCTGGTTTTCCCCCAGAGTTAAGATGGCAGTTACCTATCCTACCTTTCTATCGTCAAGCCACTGTTTCCTACTTAGTGATTCTACCACAGGCAATTCTGTGGTGATTCTGATCTTTGGTCAGTAACATTTATCTTTGAATTGAAAGAAACTTTAAAGTATTCTTTTGTCTTACAATTCACCCTACAAGTAATATCTAAATTAACATTGCTCTGTGACAAACATTATCCAGTAAACTAGGAACAAGCACGTCAGCACAGTCTTGTTCTGCTTATTTCTGCCCTGCCTTCATTTTTGTAGGCATCATTTTGGGATCTTTAGAGAGCTATTCTTGCTTTTACTGATTTTTTTCAGGGCTCTGATGTTCATACATTTAGATGGTTTCTAAATTGTTACATCTGACAGTCTAGTTGAATAAGCTGAAACCTAGCTTGAGTACTTATCCTGCTATTCTGCAATCACAGACGCTGTTCTAGTGGTTTTAAGAACCTGTGGATACCCATGTTAAACTTTACTGTTGAGGAGAGAATCTGCACTTACAAATTAAATTATTGTAGGGGTTTTTAGTAGATGTTAAAGTGTACAAGGCTCTGTAAAGGTTAAGGCTACAGTTACACTTTATTCTTCTATCACCAGCAGATCCAGTCTGAAGCTGCACATTCCCATATTTTGTTTCTGCTTTATTGCCAGAAATTACCATCTCCGTGGTTGAACCTCTTTGGATGCTTCCATTGCTGTTCACTAAACAGGTCCTTCCTTGGCCCTTTAAAATAAGTATATTCTTAGTATTGGGTGAAAGCAAGTAATCTGTGGTAAGACCCTGGGGGTGAACAGAGTCATGATGAAGAGAGTGGGAGCAGATTAAAAGGGAGAGTGCAACTACTGACTCCTTCAACTGCTGCTGGCAAAATTACATATGACCATGCCTGAAAGACAGTATAAAAATGCAAACTCATTACTACAGTTTGTGTCTTGCTCTTTGATATTCAATGTCACTTGAAAATGAGTGCAGTGGCCTTTCTAGACCCATATTAAGTATTGTCTGTGTTGTTTTGTAACAGTTGTGTATACATTGCATTGGTATTTAACACCTGTGCAATCACCGTCGATTTTAACATTTTTGGTGCTTGGTCACATAGGGCTGCTGATTTTTCAGCAGTGAGATCCTGGATGACTGTGTCTGAAAATAAGGCAAATTACTGCCTTTGTGTATTAATACAGTACTTAGTATTTAATTTGGGACAAACAAACTGGTCTGCCAAATCATTGCAGGAAGTTCTTATGCACATGTTGTGTTTAGCTGCTACTTTTTTCCTTGCTCATTATTTTCAGACACACAGGTGTCTGGAATCTTACCACTCTCTCTTGTATAAGAAACATCTGATAAATATTGATTACTATAAGTAATATTGAAATAAATGACAGAGAAAATGGAAGATGTATTTGTTCTAAGAAATCATGATGGCAGTGATCTGAATCATCACTTCAAATAGGAGTAATGTAGGAATTTTAAAACCTTTTTTTTTTTTGAAGATACCATACGAGGCCTTTCTGCCTCGCAGAACAGAAATTTCATTCCTAGTATGAGTGAAAAAACCCCTTTATTTTAATTAAACTTAGCTTAATTCTTTTGTAGACAGTAAGAAGAGAGAGGTAACTGAGTGCCCAGGATGGTGAGGAACTCCTGTTGAAATGAACAGCAGTAACTGTGTTTTGACTAAGTCATGTCTGTGTGTCTTCTTAGCACCACAGTGTAAACAAAAAAGGCAGATGGCAGGAGAGGAAGCAAAGAGGTATTTGCTGCTCCTGGTTTCTAAAATGGAGAACAGCAAAACATTTATGTTTTGTTTAAGCTCACATGAGGAATCTCTCGCAGAGCTGGAAGTTGAAGCCATATCGCCATTGTCCATCTTCTCTTTCGCTGTGAAGCTGATGTTCAGATAATGATACTGCTTTAAAGACAAATTTTTCACTAATGCAATTTCTGTATGTAATTCCATTTTGAAATTTAAACTATACTTTGGCTTTTGCTGTTCTAGCTTAGTCTGTAGGGGAGATACTTTTGCCAACACACTGCCTATAGATGCACGGCTCTTCAGCTGCTGCCTTTGTGCTTGCTCTTACCTTACCAAGAAGGCACAGCATACTTTTTAGTCAAAGAGGGATAAACTGCCTTGGATTTTATATGGCACACTGGACATGAGATTCATAGTAGCTTGCAGTCTGGTTTGAAGAGCTGTGTGCATACCATTTTTCCATGCTTTGTTTGGTGTAAATGTAGAATAATGGACTTTTATTGTTGTTGGTTTTTTTTAATAGCTGCTTTGTATATTAGATTTCAGATGTCTTTCACGCAGATATGCAGTTACTTGGATATGAGTGATCTGAGTAAAGCATCACTTGTTGCCCAATTCTGTAGTTACCCTGGTCTTCACAAACAGGCATGTTGCTAGGCTGGGGAGTGCTTGGAGCTGTAATTCAAGTTTAAGTTAGTGATAACCCAACATGAAGACTATCAGACTAGATGTTTACTGAACAGTTGGCATGTAGGTACCTTTCTGAGAATCAAAGGCTTAGTCTGCCATGAACACAGTACGAGAGAGGAACTGAAGTGAGTCTTACTGTTGGTACTTGTTTTTCTTCATCTGCCTTAAAACAGTTTAAGGGAAGTAATCGAAACTATTTAGGCTTGAAATCTGTTTATATACTGGAGAGAGAGCCAGCTGTTCGGATCACCAGCTCTGATTAGCAAAAATGCATGAACTTGTGTGTAATAAATGAAGTGATGGAAGAGACTGAAGGACCATGGAGAGCTACCAGTTAGTGGGAAGGCAAGCCATCACTTCATATAATAGAGCAAACCACATCTCTAGGCAGCAGGCCATTGCTAGAACAACCCCCACCTTTCTCAAAGCAATAGCCAGCAATAATTGTAGATGTTCAGACTCAAGAACTGCAAGTGAAACAGGTGCTCAGGCAATTTATGCCTCCACTTGGTGAAGTAAGTTGGGTGCTACAACTGCAAGTGCCACTTGAAGAAAGTCAGGGTGACAAGACTGGATCTAGTAATGAGAGCTGAATTGCATTACATCCTGTAAAGAAAGAAGGAGTGTCAGAAGCTAGTGTAGTAAACTTCTCAGGAAATCACAAAGACTTTAGACATTTGTCAACCATAAATATGTCTTTGTCCCACTTTACTCTGCGCTGGTGCAGCCTCACATTGAGTACTGTGTGCTGGTTTGGGCACCACAATATAGAAAAGACATTAGGCTCATAGAGAGTGTCCAAAGGAGGGCCGTGAGGATGGTGAAGGGCCTTGAGGGGAAGCCGTAGGAGGAGCAGCTGAGGGCACTTGGTCTGTTCAGCCTGGAGGA